CTGCGCGAGCGGGCGCAGCCAGAGTGCGGTGCAGGCCGGCGAGAGCGGCAGACTGGCGCGCGCGCTTGCCCTCAGCGAGAGGGCACAGCCAGAGGAGCAGCACGACGCGAGCGCGGGCGCAGAGCCAGCGAGAGCAGAGCAGGGCAGGCAGGGCGCTCACATTTTCAGGCCCGGCGCGTCATCAGTGTAGAAGCGCAGGATGCCCGCCCCATTGCCGCCGCCGCCCGAGCGAGCCGTCGGCCGCCTGGCCGCCGCCTTGCGCGCCATGACAGAGCCGCTTGCGGGGCCCTTGGCGGCCCCGCCACCACCCGAGGTGCCGGGCCGCTTGGTCAGCGTGCCGCCAGCCTGCCCTTCGCCCGCCTGGGAGGGGTTGCGGAGGGGAGGCGGAGTGGGACTTGCACGCGAGAGGCGCCAATCGTCGGGCATACGTGGCGGGGTGGGCTCGCCAAGCCACCCTGCGCTACATCTCTGCGCTGCGGCAGTGCTGTGCCGCGATGCCGCACAGCGTGCACCGCACGGGGGCTCGCCGGCTGCAGACTGACAGGGCGCTTCAAGGAAGCGGACGGCGGCGCGCTGGGCGGAGTGTGCCAATCGTCGGGCATACGTGGCGCGCTCTCACACACCATGGCTTTGTGTGAAGAGTAAAAAAATGTTGGGAGCAGCGGTGCGCTTCTCAGTTCCCCGGCCCTGGATGTGAGGCTTGCAGCCCTTGGCTTGTCTGTTTTCTTTCTTTCTTTCTGCAGGAGCACGACGAGGCAGGGCTTTGCCGAGTGCCCTTTACCCTCGTCAATGAACGGCTCGAAGATACCCGCCGTGGACGGGTCGGACGGATGGTGCAGAAGCACCGCCTCACGCGCACGCAATCCCCAGAGGTAGGGTGCCCACAGAAGTCAGGACCCCCCAAAAGAAAGGAAATACGTTTTTTTCAAGGGTTGCCCGGGCCGGGTTGTTGCAGTGGGCAGAGTGGTACAAGAGGAGCAAGGCTGCTCCATGTCGGCAACCCTCAAAGAGCCTGCCTGTTGCGGACATCACCATCTACCCACACCCGCGGCGCAGCAGAAGTTCGAGTCGATGGCTCGTGTGCCTGTCCTTACCGCCTCCTCTCCGCAGCTGGCCGAGGGGATGGCGCGCTCCGCCGTTAATGCGCCGGCCTCTGTGTGAGGCGGTGCTTCTCTGCACCATCCGTCCAGCCCGTCCGAGGCGGGTATTTTTGAGCCGTTCATTGGCCAGGGCAAAGGGCACTCTACAAAGCCGCTCACGCAAGAGGAGTGCCCGGTCCTGTCACGTCGGTACCGGCACGACCCTCGCCTGCCGCTCGTCGCGACCGGTACCAAAGATCAAAGGAAGGATTGATCCTCAGCGCACAGAGGGCGCTCCCAATCGCTCCAGCCGCGAGCGTTTTTTAGCGCGCCGGGACGGTCTCGGCCTTATAATCCAAACAGTGAGCCCTCCTGTGCTAGCAATCCTTGGGATCTTGGGTACGATTGTGAGCGCCGCCGCTCGTAGTCCTACAAGAATCAAGATGTAGGATTGCGAGCGCTACTGCTCGCAATCGGAGGCATGTTGCTAGGATTGTGAGCCGTGCTGCTCGCAACCCTAGACTTTGCTCGGATTGCGAGAGCGCGCCAGGTAGTTAGTAGTCGTAGGCGTCACCAGTCACCTTGGGAGCGGAGCTGCTCTTAGTCCTAGAAGATGTAGGATTGCGAGCGTAGGTGCTAGCAATCGTACAGAGATGCTACGATTGCGAGGAGTGCTGCTCACAATCCTTTCGACTTCTCTAGGATTGAGAGCGAGGCTGCTCTAGGATTGAGACAACCCAAGGGAGGGATGGGAGGACGGCACGCCGCCACCACACAGGGATTTTAAGGAGAGGGGTGTGATGCGCTTGCCGCCCTCACCCCCACCCTTGGAGAAAGAAAGAAAAACAAGCACGGGCGTAAAAGAAAGAAAGAAAACAGACAACCCAAGGGAGGGATGGGAGGACGGCACGCCGCCACCACACAGGGATTTTAAGGAAGTGAGTGTGGTGGTGTTACCGGTAGCCCTCGCCTACCCTAACCCTTGGTCGTCTGCCTCTTTCTATCTCCCTTCGCAGTCCCTCGCCGATTCTCGCTGCAACCAGGGCAAAGAAAGAAAGAAAGAAAACGGACAACCCAAGGGAGGGATGGGAGGACGACACCCCGCCACCACACAGGGCGTGAGAGAGCGTTCAAGCGAAAAATTCTTACCACCCAAAAGACAGCTTGGAGAGCTCCCGGTCACGCAACATTTCGTAACGATCGTCGCTAT